CAGGAAGGCCTCCACGCAAGGCCTCCTCCATTAACTCCTGCATAAAACTACCGTCAAACAATATTAGGATAAGTTATTCACTATATGATCAAGAAATTGCAGATTACGGTGAAATACTGTGTGGGGAAAGTTAAGGCCATACCACGCTGTATAATACACACAGTGGAACATGTGTGGCACTCCACATGGAGACGGAGGATGGATGGGCTGGAGGCGACGGCGTGGGAGCAGTCCCGTTCGATACCCAGTGACACGTGAGACCAACACCGCCACACAGCTCAGCTTTGAGGTAGGAGCCAGACGGCTGTCTTTCTCCTCCCTCGTACCCCTTCCCCCCCCCCCCCACCTCTTCCTCCCCTTCCTCCGCAAAAAAAAAAAAAATTCCTGCCTCACATGATGCTGGGGGCCCGGGGGGAGGGCAGCTGGCAGCAGCTGCACAGATGGCAGCTATGAGCATTAATATTATGCAATACTTCAAATATAAAATGTCAAATTAATACAATTCCCGATTAATATTTTTGTTAAAAACAATATATTACTATTGCTATGATTATTATTACTGATATTATTTTCCAGTAAAAATGTATTTGTACATTTTGTATACGTGTATTTGTACTCATTGACTTTGTGCGCCCCTTGAGGGACTTAAAGTAGAGGGGGTAGAAATAGCCATAGCTGCTCTATCCCTTGGAGATGTCTTTTTTATTGTCTCAATAAACATACTTGAACTTGAAGTGGACTTTAATGTTTTTTCGGCATTATCCGTATCCTGATCCTTTTCGAGTGCTATATAGTCGTAATGGCTTGGCGCTTTCACTTGATAGTTCCCCCACCCCCCTGAATAATATTACGAGAGCAGTATTTACGGGCTATTCATGCTCGTGCCACCTCTTGGGTGGCTTAATCTTCATCAATCGAGAGCAGTACGTCCTAACCAGACGTTATATGGTGATATCCTGAACAGTTGATAAATAAAAGTAATTGCGGAACTCCAGTTATCTGATACTTATCATAAATGGTATAAAACCTTATCATAAATAAGCCAAGGGGTTTGTAGATCAGTGCTTAAAGGGAATTCGGAAGTAATAATGATACAGCTGATACCATCTGTCGGCAGAAGAGAACACTATCAATTGGCTGGTCAACAGTGGCCATAAGATACAGCTTACGCCATCTGTTGACATCAAATTACACTTATAACAAATTACCCCACAAAATACAACTAGCGCCATCTCTTTTTTTCCCAACGCACTATAAATAACCAAACAGCAACCCATAAGGTGGGTTGTTGTGCTCGGGTAGGAGGTTCCTAGCTCCGCCCACAGATGGTATGGGGTGCATAATAAATGGCATATCATTGGTAGAAACTCTTTGTTGACATTCACACAACAGCCAATCACAGGAAGGGATCAGCTAAAGGCTCCATCCACTTAATAAATCATGTTTATTCAGCACACCATCCTTGCTTATGACATTCTGCTTCAACTTTAATCTACCTAAAAAATGAAATGTTAAGTATTTAAAAGTATTAATATAGTGATAATTAAATACTGCAGGATGTAACGAGTGTTACAGAAACATGGGCTGGCTACCTGACTTGTGACGTCATCAGTGGGGGTTGTCTCACACAAATAATATCGACGATACAATGCCTCCGCCCTCTTTTTGGTCTACATTATTCAGTTAGATGGAAATTTCTGTCTTGTATAAAACAGAAATTGTTGTTCTTTTGCACAACAACAAGGTTATTGAGCAAAAGGACCTATTTCTTAGTTTAAATTTTATTCATAAAAAGAGTGTTGGTATTCCCCGCAACAGCCAATCACAGGAAGGTATTTCCGGAAGCTCGACCTCCTTATGAACTCAGCACATTGCTCTAGCTCATGGCTCTCTATTTCATCTCTTGTATATACAAACTATGACTTTTTCGATTACTGTTATAATTAATAATATGAGATATAAAAGTTTTTACACAAAATGGCTAAATTCTGCCATTAAATGGACTTTGTCTGATATACATACAAACATACACCAATTTATTACCATTCGTCCATTATTAATTTCAAATGTAATGTATACTGTCTAGTTTTTTTCCTCTCGCCATTACTTGGTGCAATATTTGAAAGTTGTCTATTTATTATCGATCTATCTATTATCTTGTATTTATATTTACAAGTTTCTGTGCTTGGAAGAAAACTCTGCATTGAATTGAATTGGGACTAATTTATTAAATAATATTATTTAGTATTAATTAATATTTACAATTATTATTAATTACAATTATGTATAGCTTAGTTACTTTCATGTAACTCGCAATCGTACATTCTTAACATTAATAGCCCAAATTAGCACATCTTGCTTTTAAATTAGCCCAAAAAGTAGCAAGTAGCGAAATAAAAAAAATTGGGAGCGCGGGGCTCTCAAAAGTAGCCCAATTTGCTATTTGTAGCCCAATCTGGTAACACTGCATCAGCAGATAATGAGAATTCCCAGAGATACTTGTAACCAAGTCTAAGCCGAGCAATAGTAACATCTAGAAGTCTGCATTATTATGTTATGCAGTATTATGCAGGAGGTACCGCACGTCTATGGGTCATCCAATAAGGTTAGCAGACTTCTAGATGTCACCACTGCTAGGCTAAGGCTCGGCTATAAGTACCTCTGGGAGTTTGTAACATCTGCTGATGTGGATTTGACTAAATGTAAACTCTGTCAGCAGAACTATTCGCATACTTTGCGTCATTATATAATGGAATGTGAAAAAAATCGCGGAATTTAGAGATAACACCATCAATAGTGTCCAAGAAATGTGTAAGTACTTCATTCATAAAGATGTGCTGTCCGAGATCCTTGCGAAGTATCCAAAATTTGCTTACTGTAGGTAATGCATGCACATGACTGTAAAGTTGCCGCCCAGTTGGGTGGGTGTGGAGCAAGACTAGTAACTGTGTGACTCACCATAGATGTAAAGTGCCTTGTATAGTGACTTGTGAGCCTCTTGTTGAATCACTTGTGACACAAAAGATTATTCATGTGTGTATTTGTATGGGTGATTAAATATGTATGTGTATGTATATATGTATACGTATGTATATGTACATGTATGCATGAGTATGTGTACATGTATATATAACATTAATAATTATGTAACTATCGTCAAAAGATTGTTATTTGCTTAGCTAAACGAACTAGAGGTTCAGTTCCTGAACCGATTATGTACCTCTGTAATCCTTTACACCACCGCCCACTGGATGGGTATGGGGTGCATAATAAAGAAAGAAATTGAATTGATCAACTTATAAGATTCCCAAGCAGAATAGTTTTCTAACATTGCCATACCTTTCCGTAACAATATATTTTTGTTTCCTATCTAGATTATTATATTTAGGCTAATGATTGTCTGTCTGTTTATATATTACAATTATGAAGATTAAACATAAACTGTTAACGTTCAAAATAATAATAAAGATATGTTAATCAGTTTCTTTGCGATACAATAATTATCAACCTCATACTGCCAAGCTTATCACTGCCAGACGTACAATAAAACGTTCTAGGTTAGTGTATGTGAATTTAGATTAATAAATAATTCATAAAATTATGATTATTTCTGCTATTACTGTTCATTATACATTTTCACACTAAATGTAATGGAGGAATAATATTAGGTTATAAGTTGCGTTATATAAATATAAATTTAATAAGGATGCATTATTTTAAGTAATGTGTAATATTGTCCTTTTATAATTCAGATTCATTAAATTTTCATGAAATTTCTAAAGGTATTATTACACAGCTATTGTGTATGTTCTACTTGAAATATATGTTATATAGTAGGAAGTATGTACGCATACACAGTGGGCCGTAACGGCAATTATAAGTATTTTTTTATTTATTAATATGAAATTGAGATCTTGCTTAATGACCAAACCACGGGGTCAGCAGGTGTCCACTAGTATGCGTGGTGAACAGTTACACAAACTTGTCACCATCTCAAAAACATTGGAGCCATTACCATGGGGTTGAGCGAGCGTGGGTGGCCGAGGCAGACTTAACACAGTCCCACCTCCCACCCTCATTTTCTCTGACGCAGACACTTGTGCAGTGAGAAAGTCAGCAGTCATGGAGCTTTGGCTAAATCTATTTCACTCAGGCGTTTTCTTAGGCTACGTGTGTGGACTGTACTATGACGTTAAACCACCTAGAGGTTCAGAATACGAATCTGTATTTTGGGCGATGGGCGGAAGATTCAAGTACCTGACCTTTATTGACGCAGTAAGTAGTGTGTATGTGTGGGCCGGCGTGCCACGGTCACTGTAATCCCTTCTTACTCACACTCTAACCTCTCTCCTACCTATACTATCTTACAGTTAACCTTTCTTGTATGTACTTCCTATGTTTGATAGCACTATTCTTAGCAGCTTTGGAAGATTTTCTGCACCAAGCATTGCATTACAATGTTTTTTAGATGTAGGTACAATAATTTGACGTCATCGCATTCCACCATTGCATACACCTGCATATTAATTGTTTTAGAAAATGTTTTATTTATCGTGGTATATGAAGCATCATCTGCCATGTGTAATTTATAGGCATCAATACTAGTTTATCAATTTTATGATATTTTCCATATACATCTACTGTACCACGAGTAAAGCACATCTCATATACATAGGCCTATATTATATGAATCTACTAAATATATATCTCATATTGAACACAATCGATTGTAAATATAAATGTACATTTATATCTGAAAAGTTAACATAATATATATATTTATATTAGAGTCATTTGAAACTGTAATACAGGTGGAATTCCAGATATAGATTTAATTCGGCAGCGTACCGGCGGCGGTCGCCCGCGGCCACAACCACAACACCGCTTCCAACTGACATTCTACAGTCATTATTGCTCTCATTCCTCTAACACTTAAATAACTATAAGAAAATTCGTGCGATAGGGAAGTTTGTTAATATTTTCATTATAGGGGGAATAACACATGAGGGCGACGTGTGAAATGCTGCTTGACTTATTAAATAACAGAGGGAGGGAGCGTCCCAGAGCCGTGATTGGCTGTAGATAAGGAGGTGAAGCCTCCACCTAACATAATGGACTGAGATTGATGGATGTACCCCAGAGATAGTCGCCCGGCATATATATAGTGGGGTAGGTAAATTAGTCCGCTTTGCCCACTTCACTAATCCAATTTGGCCCTAACATTCCACGCTAGTTCTTTGTAAGAAGTGCTCTAGTAGTTTAATAGTCTTCATTTTATGTTGCTTTTCTCCTTTCCCCTGATCAATGATCAATCCAAGACGTTCTAGTTACTAGGTCAAGGTAATTTGATTTCGTTATAATGTTGATTTGTTTTAGTTTGGAGATGATGTACATGGCTTCGTTGGCTTTTATGTTGATAAAGGTCGTGTAACGCACGTTTATGTTACGTTGTTGGGTTGATTAGATACACAGTGTTTAGTGAGTTTCATATTTATTTAGTAGTCCTGGATACAGCAGTGTCGTAGATGTTGAGACGAAGCCTGGAGCAGAGCAGAGAGCTGAGTGAGGCCGGAGTCGTGGAGCTCTATGTGGGAGAGCGTGGCGGCTCGATTGAGAATTGTGAGTGTCTGAACTCGGGGAGCGAGAGCTTGGTGGCTCGATGCAGTCGTAGTCTGCTGTCTGCTCTGTGTCGAAGCTGTAGCGTCTTGGGTTGATTAGGACTGTACACGCCGAGTGCTACACTGTTGACTGTGGAAATTGAACTGTCTTCTATTCATCAAATCGTTGCTTATATGGTGATTACACCTCAGCTTCCTCCAACAAGGTGAGAAGAGTATTACCTGTAATTGGGGAAAGGATTGTAGCTTCTGTAATTAGTTATGCTATTAAGATAATGAGATAATGGAGCGAGTATAAGATTAACTCGCTACAGTCCTGTACAGCTTCACCTACAGTATCTGTCACCATTACCACCCAGAATCCATCACCACCTACATTATCCGTCACCATTACCACCCTCAGTTCATCACCACCTACTTTATCCGTCACCATTACCACCCTTAATCCATCACCACCTACATTATCCGTCACCATTACCACCCTCAGTTCATCACCACCTACTTTATCCGTCACCATTACCACCCTTAATCCATCACCACCTACATTATCCGTCACCATTACCACCCTCAGTTCATCACCACCTACTTTATCCGTCACCATTACCACCCTTAATCCATCACCACCTACATTATCCGTCACCATTACCACCCTCAGTTCATCACCACCTACTTTATTCGTCACCATTACCACCCTTAATCCATCACCACCGACATTATCCGTCACCATTACCACTGTAACGGTTCTATTGTTACGTCAAGTATGGTGACAATAAACACAGACACTAAGATACTATATATATATTTGGTCGAATATACAGAAGTACACAGGTGATACTTTGGTGTGAGTTGAGCGCACTGAGCGTCGGTACAGTATCTCGCAAGTGTCTGCTCTAGACCACACTTGAAAGTAGACTCTGGTTAATGTTTGCTATTCTGCTGCTTATATGCCCGGGCAACACCTCACCGTGTTGCCCGGGCAACGCCTCACCTCATTCATCTCCAAAGGTTGACAGGAATATTAACAATGCATTTGGAGCGAGTATATTATTGGGATAATCTACTCGCTACAGAATTCCCCCTCCCAGGGGATGAAAGGAAAAATACTTGATCAAGGAACTTAGCTGGTCGGTGAATTGTACGCCCTGCTCGCGTTACATAACCATCAAAGTTAACTTCCTCCTCTTCACTGATGTCATCTAACTGGGGTCGTAGGGTGGGAGGTCGCACAGGATCGTCCGTCATCGTAGGATCAGGTTGTGGTGCGGCTGGTAACTGGGGTTGTAGGGTGGGAGGTCGTACAGGATCGTCCGTTGTCGTAGGTGGCGGTGCTGCTGGTAACTGGTCGAAAAGTGAACTGCGTAGTCGGCGGATGTGTCTCTGGATTTAGCAGTGTCGCTGACGTTGAGACGAAGCCTGGAGCAGAGCAGAGAGCTGAGTGAGGCCGGAGTCGTGGAGCTCTATGTGGGAGAGCGTGGTGGCTCGATTGAGAATTGTGAGTGTCTGAACTCAGGGAGCGAGAGCGTGGTGGCTCGATTGAGAATTGTGAGTGTCTGAACTCAGGGAGCGAGAGCGTGGCGGCTCGATGCGGTCGTAGTCTGCTGTCTGCTCTGTGTCGAAGCTGTAGCGTCTTGGGTTGTTGGTGGAGCATTTAGATCCAGGGCGGATGGGCTCGGGCACCAGGACAATAGGAGGTAATGTAGGCACGTAGTTAGGACAACGAGGGAATCACTGCTAGAGCTGAATTGTCCTGGAGGCGACGAAGAGTCGGAAACGCAAGCTGTAAGTCCTGTACTGCGCAAAGTGCTTGAGTCGGCAGAGTATCAGAATGCAGTGAACGTGTAGATGAATCTGACGAAAGAGCAGCTTTCGTGGGTGCCCCTGTAGAACAAGCAGTGCCCTGGCAGCGACGGAGAGTCGGCAGGACAGGCTGTAGATCCCACATTATGTAGTTACTGATGAAGCTGCCAGATGAGTGAGTAGTGATCGTGGAGCAGCAAGCCGTAGTAGATGAAAATGCAGAGATGATCGCGATGAAAATCATAGCTGTGGCAAGGGTGTTGGCAACGTTCCACGACAGGTGGCTGCGGTCCACAGCAAGCAGCAGCAGTGGAGGTGCAGTGAGAGTCCATCGTGGCTGGGTATCGTCAAAACTCTCTGGGGTCACCAATGTAACGGTTCTATTGTTACGTCAAGTATGGTGACAATAAACACAGACACTAAGATACTATATATATATTTGGTCGAATATACAGAAGTACACAGGTGATACTTTGGTGTGAGTTGAGCGCACTGAGCGTCGGTACAGTATCTCGCAAGTGTCTGCTCTAGACCACACTTGAAAGTAGACTCTGGTTAATGTTTGCTATTCTGCTGCTTATATGCCCGGGCAACGCCTCACCTCATTCATCTCCAAAGGTTGACAGGAATATTAACAATGCATTTGGAGCGAGTATATTATTGGGATAATCTACTCGCTACACCACCCTTAATCCATCACCACCTACATTATCCATCATTAATACCACCCTCAATCAATCATCTCCTACATTATCCGTCATTATTACCACCCTCAATCCATCACCACCTCCATTATCCGTTACCATTACCACCCTCAATTCATCACCACCTACAATATCTGTCACCACTACCACCCTCAGTCCATCACCACCTACAATATCTGTTACCACTACCACCCTCATTCCATCACCACAATAACTTATCTAATGTATGCAATACTGGCACTCAGTTTCGGAACCCATTATTTGTATGCTACCATTTGTAAGAAATGTATGCTCTTGATATCCCCAGTCAAACTAAATCTGTTCAAACACTTTGCTAATAAGAGACCTAGTCTATGGAACTCACTCCCTAATAAGTTAAAAAGCTGCCCAACCTATTCCTTATTCAAAAGTAAAACCAAAAAAAGTACCTATTTTCATCCTCATAGCTTCCTACCTAGTGCCTTAAACTCGCACTGTATCTTGTGTTACCTACTCCTCCAATATACTGTATGTTTCTAAAACATGTAACTTCACCATCGTAATCACTGCTATCAAGTTATATCATAGTTATGTTGAACACAAATTTTTCTACAATGTACCAATTAATAGTCCTCAAATTATGCTCCAATGTACCTGTTTATAACCCTCAAATTTTGCTACAATGTACCAATTAATATTCTTCAAATTTAGCTACAAATTACCTACTTAAAATTATCTTTTAGATTAAGGCACTGCTCAAAACACTATGTGTGTTAGTGGCTTTACAAGAATGTGAAAACATCAATGCTATATACTTTCATGAACCCAATGTGCCTTCTTGTATATATAAATAAATAAAATAATTGAAATATGTTACCTGGTTGACCAGTCCAGTAATCAGAAGGCCTGGTCGAGGACCGGGCCGCGGGGATGTTGAGCCCTGAAATCATCGCAAGGTACCATTTAGGGTCCTGGTAGTACAGTTGGGTTCGTTCTCGACACACAATCGAGAATTCCGGGTCTGAATCCCGGGCTGGACAGAAATGGTTGAGCACATTTCCTTTCACTTAATGCCTCTATTCACCTAACAGTAAGTTGGTACTCAGTAGTTAGTCAGTTTGTTGTGGGGTTACATCCTGAAAATAAAATAGATTTGAATTCCAGTTCCTGAATGTATACTATACTGTAATATAATTTTTCACCTCATGCTTTATCCTGTGTGTGGCAGTACAAAAGGATAATACAGATAGCACAGTAGAGGTTATAGAGTCTGTTACTATAGGTTACAATAGTACTGTATGACCTGCCTACAACATCTTTATACAGTAATTGTAAACACTTCATGCACTAGGTAATGTTTAATTAATATTTAAAATATAAAGTAGTCATTTATTTGAGCTCACAATCTTTAATGGGTACAAAGTTAACATGTTAAATACCTGTATTACACTTCGTCATTTTTGTAAATCATATTTTTTATTATACTGTATATACACTGTTAATTACAAGGCACTGTACATCAGACCGAAACTGGAGTAAACAGCTGTGATTACCTAAGTGTAGTTACAGGATGAGAGCTACGCTTGTCGTATCCCTTCTTCCCAGCACTCTTTGTCATATAACACTGAAACTACTGACGGTCTTGGCCTATCTTGAGGTTATCTTGAGATGATTTTGGGGCTTTAGTGTCCCCGCGGCCCGGTCCTCGACCAGGCCTCCACCCCCAGGAAGCAGCCCGTGACAGCTGACTAACACCCAGGTACCTATTTTACTGCTAGGTAACAGGGGCATAGGGTGAAAGAAACTCTGCCCATTGTTTCTCGCCGGCGCCCGGGATCGAACCCGGGACCACAGGATCACAAGTCCAGTGTGCTGTCCGCTCGGCCGACCGGCTCCCTCCGTTCGGCCGACCGGCTGTCCTCCTCGGCCTCCACCACCTTCTCACCTAACTTGTTCCAACCATCTACCACTCTGTGCGAAAGTGAATTTTCTTATATTTCTTCGGCATCTGTGTTTAGCTAGTTTAAAATGGGTGTGTGTGTGATATATATATATATATATATATATATAT